TATTACAGTATGTAGGCTTTGAAACACCTGTTCTCAGGGTTTCCTACATCTAGATTGTGCTACACATATATATCAGAACTGATTGACAGATTCCAGCAGGTAGTTTACCGGAAACCTTGCTCGAAAAAAACCTGCCCTTGGTAAAGGAAGCAAAACCGGCAGGACGACTGGTTTCTTGGTGAAAAGAAGGTCGGTATACTTACAGCAGCTTGAGCAAAGAATTCAGTTTATAATTTCAAATTATCAGCCGCTGGAGTTTGATCTAGCTGGTCAATAATGGCTGGGTGACTCTCGACGGGCACCATTATTTTAGCATCGGTGCCAAATACAAGTATAATTTTAATTTCTCCGATAAATTTGTCTACGTGAGAGCAAACTGCAAAGGATTCGGTTCTAAATTATGCCATTCAGCATTCTGAAATCCTCTGCAATATGTATATTTATCAGTTATAATATGGACTCGTGGTTAATCAGCAGAGATTGTTTTTTGCTTAAAAACTCTCCGCAACGAGTATATGGTTTGATAAAATCTATATTTAGTAAATTTTACTGTCCGCAATATTCAAGACAGTTTCGTCGTCAGTCAGACATAAGTAATCCCAGAATTGCAATATTTGAGCTTCGAATTCATATTCTGCTGGTTAGACGTCAAACTCCCTAACTATCGAGCCAAATAACTCGATGCCCTGTTGGTTGCGATCCCTAAATTGATATCCGCAGTGGAGAAACGCCCCATGATCACAATATCGGAGACAAAAATCGGTCACCTGACGAACCCTCCTTACTGTGAGTGACTGATCTCAATAAGGGGTTAGTCGAAATTCTGAAATGCATTTCCGATTAGGAAGGATCACATAGGTGGGGTTCTAATACTGATTATTTTGCAGCATAATCTGGGGCATTTCGAACTCTGCAGGATGTTGCCTTTTTAATTCACGTTTTTCATCTCCCTTGGAAACCGAACTTGGTACGAATATTAAGTAGCATGTACTTATCACGTTAATTTCCGATGGTCTTGTAAATTCAAGTTTTTTTTATAAACCATGAGCGAAAATATTTTTCTACTCCCCTGATAAAGACTCACGTCATCTTCATGTTTTATATTCAAAGATGGAGTATAGTTAGGTTTTAAAAAGGTTTTAACTATGAGACTTTTAAGACCGTGGAATGTTCATTCGTGCAGCATCGTACCTGCCTGTTTACCATTGCTTCTCATGAAATTTACAACACAGTCGGCATCCATTGCAACATCTTATGTACTTTATGTTATCTTTTAAAGGCATAGAAAAATATATAATACTCCCTACACAGAAAGCATGTACCGTGAAATTACTAAACGCTAATGCAACGGCTGATAATGCTCAAAAATATTCCAGAATTAGAGAACTTTCATAAAACATAATTATACTCCTTTTTCGAGTATAAAATGGGAATTTGACGGGAATTTCCATCAGTTGAGTGAGGAAAAGCATATTTGTATGTATATCCTCTTTAGAATAAACTTAAATTTATATAACCATTGAAAGTCAACGTGAAAAATTCACGCTACTTAAATAGCCACTTATTACCAAGTGCGATTTCCAGTCGAGGCCGTAAGAAAGTTTATTCAAAAGCCGATACCCTGTCACGTCCGAAATATTATCGGATTATGTCGCATTTCAGTCAGTATTGCAAACCCCATCCAAGTAGTCTTTCCTAATCAAAAACGCATTTCGAATTTTCGGCCGAAATTTCATGGGATCGGTCACTCACTCTATATTTGCATGTCGATTATTCTCTGAGGTTCACCCATTAAAAAGCGCTTGGCGACCCAAGAAAGCGTCGAATCCCTTGCAGCGGCGGAGAAACTTCGGTCAAACACGCGTCAAAGCCCTAAGCTAGTACCTATGTCGAGAGTACGGTATAACTATTCGTCATATAAAATCATACTTCTAGTAGTACTTTTTGTTGACAGGATGGAAATTGTGTGGTCTTTCCAGAGAAGATGATTGTCTTTCACCCAAACGCCTCGGATATTTAACTTCATGTGTCGCATTTAACGATTTCCTAAATTATATACAGTGAGTGACCTACTTCATGAAATTTTGGCTGAAATTCTGAAATGCGTTTTCGATTAAGAAGGATTACTTTGGCGCGGTTGTGACAGTGATTATCTTGTGGCATACTCTTTTAGCATTTCGGACGCAGCAGGATATCAGCGTGTAAATGCACTTCTTTTCAATCTCCTGTAGAAAGCATACTTGGTGAAAAATGACTACTTAAGTAGCATGCATTTTTCCCATTGATTTTCGATGGTCTTGGAAATTCAAATATATTTTATAGAAACCATGAACAAAAATATCCTTTTTTAGTCAATCAATAGAGAATTACGTCTTCTTTATATTTTATACTTAGGGATGGATCATAATAAGGGTTTAAAAAAGTTTATAATTATGCGACTTTTTAAGACCGCCAGATGTCCATTCACATAGCATCGCACCTGGCCGTTTACCAGTGCTCCTCATGAAATGTACAACATTGTCCGCATTCATTGCAAAATTTTATGAACTCTGTATAATATCTCTTTAATGGCGTAGAAAAATATGTGATGTTCTTTACGCGGAACGCAAGCACCCTGTAGAGTAATATCACTAAGCGCTAATGCAACGAATGATCAGGCTCCAAATTATTCGGCAATTAGAAAATTTTTTTAAAACTTAGTTTTATTCCTTCTTTGAGAATGAAGTATAAAAAAGACGTGATTTTCTATTGATTGACTAAAAGAAAGGATATTTTTGTTCATGGTTTCTATAAAATATACTTGAATTTCCTAGACCATCGAAAATCAATGGGAAAAATGCATGCTTCTTTAGTAGTCATTTTTTGCCGAGCGCGCTTTCTACAGGAGATTGAAAAGAAGTACATTTAAAAGCCAACATCCTGCCGAGTTCGAACTGTTATGAGAATATGTCTTAAGATAATCAGTATTAAAACCGCGACCAAGTAATTCTTCCTAATCGAAAACGCATTTCAGAATTTCAGCCAACATTTCATGAGATAGGTCACTCACTGTATCTGTACTATTTTTATAGGTTACGAAGGGGGGCTCTCACAGATTTTACTACGGCACCTTATCGTCCCGTTATGATTTTTACTCATTTTTCGACTCTAGGCCGAGTCCCAAGTCACAATCGGACGAGTGCGTTCGGTAACGCGAATGGTGAGCACTTTCTGTCATAGTTTACGTGGCCGATCACAACCGGCAGGACAAAGAGCAGGTGGTTCAAAAGTCAGAGAGTTGGACAAAACACAGATTCAAACCCTAGGGCTGGGCATGGCTGGCTAAAGGCGGCCAATTGGCCAAGAGTAACTATTCCAGTCTCCCTTGCCTTTTTCAACCATCATATTGTGGACATATATTAATTTAAATCGCAGTTATGTCACACTCTCGTCATATAAGCTAGCACGGTATACCATACTTGACAACATAGTTACTAACGAAAAGTCCAGGCCGGCGTTTCATCGATCTTATGCCACTAAATGGCACAACGCCGAGGGGTTTGGCTCATCAGTCGGTATCCCAGTGTTCCGTGTGTACTTTCTGGACTACACCCCAGCTTTGAAATGGTGGTTCTATAATTTTTTCAGAAATCAGTTGTAAATGTGTACTGAGTCAGTTTTTTGGAGACTTGTGGACTCAGAAAAAGTTTAATTTGATTATTTGGGCCGAAAGCCATCGAACACAACAGAATAACCGCGTCATTTTCATAAACGTTCAACAGGGCGCCAATGTTACGTGTACAAGTAGTATTCAGACGAGGCGTGTATCGATTTAGATGCCACATACAAAATCTTCACGGAGAAATACAACCTGGCGTAGCCAATGCCGCAGAGGAATCAAAATGCAATAAACACGTATTCGCACAGACTTTGAGCAATCGTGGGATCACGGTTAGACACAGATAAGAAGATAGTTGTTTCGCACACTTATTGCCCGACGATGAGATCATCTATGCAAGGTGGCTCTGTACAAAGTAGACATTAAAAACTAATTCGCATAGACGAACATTCGCGTTGTCGACATCGATCTAGATGCCAGGTTTTACGGCTGTCAGAGACGAAAATCGGTCACCTGGTGATCCCTCACGATGTGGAAATCTCATCTAGGGCAGCCCTTAACACCAAAGTTAAGTGGTGCGTCAAATATACGACTTCTCTTCGCACCTAGACTTTAAACTATAAATACGGAGATACATGTTTCCATAGAATTATAAATGTACGAGTTGCGGTGCAGCATACTACGAGCAAACAGTAAAAGCTGCCTCCACACGTACGAAAAAAAATCGCCCAAAAGTGGGACCACGTGGTCATAGACCCAATGGACATTGCGCTTACAATTGCACTGGAGGAAAATCGCATTGCATACACCTACTATTAAAAATGGACAGAGAGTTCATGGAAGTAATCCAAGTAGCCGAGTCACACAGCAATAGCTATTTTAAGTTAAATGGCGTGTACGGAATCCTAAAGGCCCAGTAGACGCACAGGAAGCCAATTTCGATCCTGCAACGGAAATCAGGGGCTACCTTTCGACGCAAACTATGACCAGCAGCAAAAGCTTTGGCTTGATACGGTCGAAAACCTATCCGTTTTTTAATGTTGCCCTTTTATTAGTCCGGAGGAATCTATGCGAAGATCTAACACGTAGCTAATGGGTATTATGTCCGGCTTGTAACCCGTTGATTTCTAAAAGGCCTTTGTTGGCACCTCCAAAGACCTTAAGTCTCCACTGCCTTTTTCAGGTAGGTATAATAAATAACGCAGTATGTGTAGGACAAGGTCAGGATCGAATATCCAATTTTTATCACATTGTGGCTCACTAAACCTGCCTCGACTTATGATCGAAATTGCGGCAGAAAACATTTGAAGCTCTGCAGTTAGGTATGTGTCGCGTCTACACCGCACACATCTTTTACAAGAAAATGCATCACTGAAATTGTAACTTCTTTATCATTTTTGATCTACGGTTTGCGATTATTGGCTGTGTGCCGCAATGCTGTGGCTGTGTAGATGCGAAGAACATCTACGAGGTGTCTATTCACTCCCTTGCTCATGACCAGACGGCTAAAGCCCATTGAGCACTGTGCAATTGGTGATTTCACGCGATCCTGGTCGTCTGCTCGATTTGGGCCGAGATTACCTAGAAAGTACTGTCTGTTGGGAATGCCTACATTCCCGAAAAAAAAGAGCCAACCAATCACTGGAGAACATGTACGTTTACTCTCTCTGCAGCGCTGTCATCTTAGTCGGGCGCCTCTCCATTGGCTACTGCCCTCTTCCCGAAGTTCATTGGGCCGAATGCCGGCGAACCGCAGTAGCGTGTTATAAATATGCGTCACATTTCAGCTAGTCGCGACCTGCAGTGTTTTTCTGATACACTTTCCGTGGCCGGTTGGGCTTTTTTTGTCTGCTGCTTTGATATTGAATACAAGGGTCGAGTGCGTATACGGTCCACGGGATTTTAAGTACCAAGCGGGTCATAACATTGACAGAATGTTGTGAAAGATGGCCCCGGGGATAAGGTTTGTTAGTGGAGATTAAAGGTGCATATATATGCATTGGTGGGTAAATGAGGCGGCACATTTTCCATTTAATATCAGCGAAGCATGTTTAATTGGCTAAGAAGTAATTAGGCAATGCAAATACCAACTGAAAGGATACTATTTTACTTACGCGTGCAGGTCTTTCCGTCTGGAAGAAGAGTGTAGCCCTCAATGCATCTACACATATAACTGCCTGGAATGTTCACGCAGAAATGCCCACAATCGTGATCCACGGTTGCGCAGCTGTCGAGTTTGGCAAGCGGAGCTAGGAAGATGAAATATCTTACGGTTGGCGGCTCTGTATTTGCATTATTATAAATTAAGTATTACAAGCAGGAAATACTGGTTTCTTCTAAAATTGTATTTTATACTAAATGTTGGTGATAATGCTCTGTTGATGTATGGCACAGCCAAGTCTATGAACCTAATATTGCCCGAACTGACTTAACCTCCAACCGTTTAAGACTTTGCGAATCTTGAAGGAGACAAGATCGCTGGGACAACAGCTTAATTTGCCTGACGTTTCGGATTTTTGCTCGAACCCATCAACGGAGACAAAAGCAGATAGGGGTGGTTCATGTATATGGGGCTTCGGTATTTATAGGATGCAGTCGCCATGCTGGCGCATACCTATGAATGTTCACGGCTGCCCCCCCCTTCTTCATTAGGGATCGTCGTGCTTTGTGTGATGACTTATTGATGACCGATATTCGCGTCGTTTAATGCTGCAATTTTATCAAATGTTTTGGATATTGGTGTGATGATTGCTCGAGCATCTGAATCACCGACCCTGACGTTGCGAAAAGTGCAGACCTGCGCTCCCCTCGTGCTTATTTACTCCGCCGAGTATGGAATGGGAAGATCATTGCACTTGTTAATGGACTGGGTGCCAGTAAACCATGACTCAAGCAGCTCCCGGCTCACGCGCTTGTCAATTCTTGCGAGAATTTCGGCCTCATAGAATTTGATTTTGTGGCCGGATCTCGTAGAAAAAGCGGTAATTTGAGATCTAGCGACAGTTTTCCGCACCGCGGCGGTTAATTCGACGAGATTCGGCCACACATTCAAATTTGGCGCGACGTAAGGCTGCCAATGACAACACCTGTCAATACTTTTGTAAAATAGATTGCAAATATTACTTCCGAATTAGCAGGTTTTTCCTACTGATTCACGGATTCATGACAGTGTGCACACGCGAGCTGTCTTCACGGACAGTCGAGCAATCTGCATAATCATAAAGGCGATGGATTTAGGAAACGCCTTGCGTACGCTCCTAGACATATGACTCAGCGTTTAGTGCGCTGAATTATCCGCTCCCATTTGATCACTGCGCACATTTAGGGCTATACTTTGGCCTACGTGTAGTCTCCCCACCGCAAATGCTCCGGTTATCACCGTCCTTATTTTCCGCTAACCAAACGACGGTATTTCGCCCGATAATGCGAAAATTAACCTTAAATTCTAGTTGGATCTTTCGTGGTCACGCCGCTCTTCAGAATATTCTATCTGATGAATGACCACCATTAAGGTCTCATGAAGAAATTTGCCCTTAAGCAATGTCCAACCAGGAGCAACTTTCCTGTTTTTTGGGATCCTGCTGAATCCAGTCGAGAATCCATCAAGATAATTTCCAGCAGTTCTTTGATGAGCAACGGAATGTGTCCTTGGTATCGGATTATATTTAACTTTAAGGGCACTATTTGTTGATAAGGCCACTAACTCGGTCGTGCTTGATGCCGTAACGTTCCATAACATAATTATTCCAAACTATAGCGCTATTTATATTACTAAATTTTGTACTTGATTAGCAACGAAAAACCGAGTTAATTGTAAACCTTAGGGTCATCAGGGGCATTGCCTATTACCCTAAAAAACAATACAATACAGAGCTAGGCTCTGGACTGAAAAAGGCCCGGAGGCACTGAGAAAAACGGTATTTAAATTAGATATGTTAAATAAGATATGGATAGATATGTGTGGATGGCATTCTGAAACGTGTAATAACCGAAGGTTGCTAATTATTTGTAACTGTCGCATCATCGTTAGTCAATGTTCAAGAACTTACCCATCTTAAATCGTGCTGTGAATCCCTGTTCCTGAGAATCATGATCTGAAACGAATCGCACAGTCATCGTATTACTTGTCGACAATACCGGTGCTGGTATCTCACTCCCACATATTCTACGTAGCGAAGGAGAATGCTCCGAAGGGCCATCATATATTTCTATGTGATCGTGGACGCAGTCCCCTTTATTTTCCACCTAAAGAATGCAAAAAGCAAAAAAGGGCTATCTACCGTCGACTTAGATAACTGCTATTCAATTAGTGCCTATAACAAGAAGGACCATCAAGACGGGATGCAGCAGTTTGCCACAGTTGTTTACTAACGAACCTGAAAAAGTGGAATTATATAAGAAAAGTCAACTGAAACGAAGGAAGGATCTAGGTGCGCCAACTTCAGTTTATCTTCAGCTTCCGCATATAATAGTTTGGCCGTCGCATTCGAGGATGTCCACCGTGTTCTCCACAGCAAGGTGAAGCAGGCACGCTGACTTACGCGGAAAGTAGCTTTTAGTGAAAGGGCATTTGAGCAGGGTCTACCGTACTTTCTCCTCCCCCAACTGGACTCGGTATCAATACATAGTCAAGAAGACCAAAGGTGGAGAGGTCGCAGTCCTGCACGTCACTTCACACCCCTTGTCCACAAAAAACACCTGATCAGGATTTTGACCAACTACATCAACGACAGAGAAGACACGAATGACTGAACAACCATGCTCATGACCTGTATACCAAGCAAGGGCGCAAGCGCATCTACCGTCAGAGAACCAGGTGCCGAAGAACTGTCAGCGCACACCAGGCTGCAAGGGCCACAGCTTGCTAATCATGGCCTAGCAGACGCTCACAAACCTTGGGGCCGCTTCGGGTGGCTGCTGGTGCATGGCACGTCTTGGCAGATGGAGTGATTGATCTGGTTAATCCCGATAACGAATGAGACCGAGGCACACTTGTGTATTAAAATCAGAAACAGTGTCTGCAGAGGCGCATCGGTACTCACCTTGAAACTGTCGAAACTGAGGATAACGGAGAATCCAACAGGAATTTCAATCCGCCAGGTGCATTTACTGTTTGGCGGATATTCAACCGGGTAGCCGGGACTGGCAAAGGTGCCTTCATTCGCCCTTAAGTAGCCTCCGCAATTAGCTGTTGTATGGAAATAAATCAACATAAGTATTCGAGGGATGTCTAAGGCAACCTGCTACATGTTCACATGCAAATTATAGGTGCAACATAAAAAGCTCCATTTATTTGAAGCCTAAAACACACCCCATTCTCCGCCTTTTGGTTGCCAGTCGAAGGAAAAGTTAAGGCAGAAATATGGAATCACAGTGTTCGTGCTTATCTAATTTGCAGTATTTTGTTGGTTAACACGGAAAATATCAAGTGTCAGGATTAATGTTGGGTAATTGAATTAACATTTGGTTGACATATACGTCAGCGAAGCTTTGAAGATGCGTTCACAAAAAATTTAGCGGGAGCGGACACCATGTGAAAAATATCTGGCGACATAAAGATGCCAACGATATTGTCAAAAAATAGCAGATTAAAACATTACGCCAATCACGTAAAAACGGACGTGCCAGATAATTCCTAATAATTGTCGAACTTAAATGACTGTATTTGCTTACAGGGCCTTAAAGAAGGCCTTTTGAATGTATTAAATTGTAAACGCACATTTCCCACAAATCGTGGTGAGCGTTGGTGAAAAGGATTTAATTGTTAGATTTATGAGATTTATGACCTGACTGTGTGGATGCGACTCCGACATAGTCGGACATTGCAAACACTGCACAACCGCTGGATCCTAACTACTGAGAGTAACATATGCGGTAGAATCCATTGCTTGTGCGCTTTAAAAGAACTCACCTCTTTCAAATCTTGCCGTGAAACCCTTGTCCTGGTAGACGTCATCGGTGACAAAACGCACAGCCATCGTGTTATGTCTTGACTGTATGCTTGGTGGTACGTCAAGCCCGCAGATCTTGAGCAACATGGGCGAAGATGCCGAAGGTCCATCAAATACCTCAACGTAGTCAGAGTGGCATTCCCCATACCCCTCCATCTGTGGAATGCAAAGTCACGATGTGATAATCGATGTCCGCAGATTAAAGACTTTTAGTCTGAGCTCATGTAAAACATTGACACTTAGACAGCACTACAACATTTGCTTCAAATTGCTTGACAGTCAAAATAAACAATACGAAATGTTGAAAACCACAGTGAATTCGCAGTGAATTTGCAATGAATTTGCAGTTTGCAGATATGCTGAGCAGACGGCACGTTCGGACTTAGATGCAAGCCGATGTTTGATTTAAACGGAGGACACAAACATATTCGACTACTGAGGGTAGCATCACCTAAACAATTTTCACACATTTTGGCACTTAACGTGACCACCTTCTGCTCCGTCAGTCTTGCCACATTTGCGCACAATTATCGTAATCAAAGCAACGCTTACAAAAGGCAAATCGGCACTTACTGAGAGATCGTCAAACGTAAGGACAACTGAGAATCCAACGGGAACTTCGATCACCCAAGTGCAGTTGATATTTGGCGGGTAGTTATTCGGATAACCAGGACTGGTAAGGGTGCCTTCGTCCGTCATCAAATGACCGCCGCATGCAGCTGTTAAAAAAATGCATTAATGAAATCACGCATTTTGGTTAACTACGGATCTGGTATTTACAGTTCGTGGCCTATCCCATAAACGCTTATGATAGAATGAGATGTGAGACCTTTTGGTCGTTTTAAACGTTATGCACTTTGCTCACTCATTCAGCCTCTTCAACGAAATGTAATTTTGTGCGTAAAATGCGTCCACGCAATACTATTAAACAATATGTGCATACATTTGGGCGAAAATGGACGTTCCGATATACTCATCAATTTCCCTTGCTTATATCTATCCTAGGCTTCAGCTGTGCATCTAAAGGCGTTCTTTGATAGGAGAGGGATTTGTTCTCAGGGGCTCTACTAAGCAAAGCTTATTGCTTATAAAATTGGTTTTCTGTCTGTTGCTATTTGTCGATATAACTTGCAAACGCAAATTTTATATTAAGATAACCAATGTTTTATTGTTTTTTATAAGTTAATCTAGCAGCTCTGATTTGATGCTCTAAAGTGCAATAATAACGCACAGCGGCAACGTTCGTTTAAATGGCTTGAAATTATTACGCCATTCGGAAAATTCTGCTCCTTTTCGCAGAACAGTCGGTAGCCAAAAACATCGATAAAATTATAAACTACAATCTTAAACATGCTATTTGGAGCCTTTTAAATGTAGTTATCTTTTGCCGGATTTCTGCATATTTATTTCTCGGGATGGAGCACGATTAGTTTCGGATTCTGTTTGAAGTAGCCCCAAAAACTTCCCGATTTTCGGGGTTTTCAATCGATTTCTCATAAAGTTAGATTTTGAACGATATGTATATTGTTAAATAAGGTATTTTAAAAAACAATTTATGGAATTTGCGATTTCCTTGACATTTTTTTGCTGTAGCTGGTGGTTTTAAATCTTGTTTGTGGACTCACCCAATTCAAAACGTCATCACTAATAAAAAAAATCCATAAAGCAGATCCGCGATGAATATGGACCAGACCAATTAGAAAATCTTTCCTTTCACGTATCTTCTTGGAGAGCGTTTTAATTAGATATTTCGCTAATGCATGTCTGCGTTCTTCATCTATTACCAAGATTAAGTCAAGGCAAAAATTGGAAGACTCTTTCAGTTTTTTCACCCCTGAAAATTATTAAAACTTTCTAACTGCAAATGGTAAAGTTTTTTCTTTATATTGGGGCCGTTTTGCCGTATATGGTTTCCCTTGCACCCCGTTCTATGATTTAAAATGCATGACAACATGACCTCATTAATATTTTAATATTACAAAACCGTTTATTTTCTGCGCATTGCGTTTATAAATTACGCATAAGCGTAAATTTTTCTTTGCAAAATGTATTATGCCATAACCATAAACGTCAGCATAGGCGGGGACATATCAGAAGGGTTGCTTCTAGCTGCTACTGCAATACATATTGTGAATTCTTACTGATTTGCAAATACGGTTTTTATATTCGATCAAACGTCTGGTTTTCTAAAGACAACCTGCTTAATAACACCTGGCCTCACTTGATTCAAGGGAAAAGAAAATCATTTTCCAAGCGCGGCAAGTTCCGTTTGATAAACTCGAAATTAGGCTACTCTTCACTCACAAAACAGCATGCGCGGATGCGGAAGCTTGGTTAAAGAGAGCTGCTGGGAAAGAAAACGGACGAAATACAAGTTAGCGTACATCATCGCTCAAATTTTCGGACAATTTGAATGATAAAATTATGTTCAAACATATTTAGCATGCAATAAGGATATTCTACAGAATAGGTTTGACATATATGTGAAATGTGCATCATTTTATTGGTTGTCCTCACCACGGTTCATGAATAAGATCACATATTTATAGATAACGCTTGTCACAATTGAGAAAATGACCTTCCACTCACGTTTGCAAGTCTTTCCGTCCGGAAGAAGAGTGTAGCTGTCATGGCACTTACACCTGTATCCATCCGGAATGTTCACGCAGATATGTTCACAGCCGTGATTTGTGGTTGCACAACTGTCCATTTTGGGAGGCACAACTAGGAAGATAAGATATCTCACAATGAGCTAGTCTCTCTCGTCATTCGACTGATGCATTACTACCCGCATTGGCAGCACATGTGTTATTTACAGCCAACACACGTGTTTTGCCAGTAATGCGCTGTTAAATGTCTTCCCTCGCTGTTTAAATAGCACTTATTTTACCAGACTGGTTTACTATGCGGTATGATTAATTACTTAGTTTATGTCTTCTGCTGGTGGATATTAAGCTGTCAACCCAGTCAATCTCACTACCGTCGTGTGTGATATTTGTGTGAATGTTCAGACGAAGCCTATAAGGATCTACTCCATCTGACTAACACCAAGTTAAGCGTCTTCTTCTTAGGAGATCAGGAAGCCGAATAAGTCTAAAGAAGTAACTTCACTAAACAATGTGAGAAAGTAGGATTAATTTATTTGAGGCACGCGTGTTAATGGCCGATTGCAGTTCTACAAACCGTAAACCTGACCTCTAACGTCTTCTTTACATCCTACCTTCCGCAAAAGATTGTTGACGCTAACACGCTAATTACTATACGGACGATAAATAAGCCGAAAGCATTGAGATCGAATATCCAGAGTCGGTTGCTGTGATCTAAATGACTCCTGACATATTTAAAGGAAAAAAGTGCATATTAATGACAACGCTGCCTTCATTCAGTGATAATTCGCCGCCATTTTCGAAAACCCTCACTGGTCTCTGTGCATCACTGCCAGCGTTTGACTGTATTAAACAGACAGCACAATGTGCATAGGATTTTTTGACTGATGATGTACAAATCGTATCTTTCACATGCTGCGAGATGTTTGAGCCACAATACTTTACAATAAGCTGGCTGATCGAAGATCGGTCATAATGGCTGCCTGCATCCCGTTATGTCCGCTCTCTCAGCAAGATAATCGCAACAGTAATGTATGCGGACATTTTCACACAAGAGTCCTACGGATGGCAAAATAAGAGTCATGTTGGTGAACCCTATACTTTTAGTCCCGTAAAAATGGCTGTGCCTCTTTACACCTGGAAATCTTCAGACGTATATAACTGCATCTTTTGGCCAAGCCCGAAAACGCTGTCATTGCCGACTTCTTTGAAATATAACTACATATTTTTTCGCACATTATGGTGACAGTGGATAAAAAAGGATTTCATATTTATTTTTTTTCATTACCGAATATTTTGAAAGATTTTTGGCAGGCGAAATGCGTTAGACGCATGAAGAAGCCTAGGGGTGACTGCGTGGATGCAATTCTGGAACGTTTTAAAATCGGGCATCGCGAACCCTACATAACTGCTGCCCCGTAATAACCAAAGGACACATATGCAACATAATTCATTGCTTGTGCATTTGGGAGAACTTACCTTTCTCAAATCTTGCTCTGAAACCCTTTCCAGAAATTGCATTGTCCGTGACAAGACGCAGGCTCATTGTGTTCCATGTCGACCTTATGGGTGCGGGTACGTCAGTCCCACAGATCTTACGCAATAGGTGTGAAGATTCCAAAGGTCCATTGCGCACTTCTACGTAATCGCTAAGACAGTCCAACCGTCCCCCGAGCTATGAAATGCAAAGTTTAAAAGTGATCATTAATCTCCCCGGACCACAGGCTTTCGATCCGAACTCATCAAATATTCATGATGATATCATGAATATTTGAGCTGAAGTCCATCAGCCACAGCAGGTAACCGTGTAATGTTCGTTTACTGCCGACAGGCAGATAATAGGATAGTTTAGAGTAGGGTGGTACCATACTAACAGCACATATACTAGCAAAACACACGCACGCCTGTTTCGCTGATATTCCGCCGCTGCATGGAGCAACTGCGAGAGAGTTGGGCTCGTCCGTGGGTCCCCCAGCATCCCCCGTCTGTTTTTTAGTAAATACTCCAATTGAGAGATTGTCGCCTTTTCATTTCCTCAGAAATTAACTACGAACTTGGAGTAGATCAGTTTATTCTAGGTCTATAGATTCAGGCCGAGATTTTTATCTATGAATATTTAAGTTGAAATTCATCAGTCACAGCACGATAAACGCGTAATATTCATTAACTGCCTGTGGGATACCATGCTAGCAGCACAGGTACTAGCCAGTTAAGGAGTTAAAACTTGTGCAGTAAAAACACGAATTGGCCGATGAGAAGAGCAAACCAGGTTTCTTAGATGGGAAATATATCAATCTGCATTGCTTCAAAAGTCGCCTTCAGTGGCGGCGATCATAGACTGAGGAAGATCCAATGGGCCACAGTGTGCTGAGATCGCTTATTCGACCCTAACGTAGACCCGCCCACACACTGATCTTGTTTATAACTGCCCGAAAAAGTCAATGAGTGCCAAAGATCGTTGGAGGCGGCAATAAAACCACTTCCGGCATTAACGGTCTATGAGCCGGACATAATATACCCATAAGTTAGCCCACCTACTGTAGCTTTGCA